ATTTTTCGTTTATAGATTTGTTTATGATATCGTCTGTAGGCTTGTTGATAATCGCATCAATAAACTTGTTTTTAATTTCATACATTTCTTCTTTCCTTTATTTATGATCATATCTAGACTGGTGAATGATCATGTCTATATCGATTATAGACTTATCATCTTGTCTACTGTTTCATCTACGATTTTATCGTCAATGGGCTTACCTACACTCTCTATGGTCCAACATCTTATTTATAGACTCATATATGATGTAATGTATAGAATCTCCTTTGATATGCCTATCTTCTACAATCACATCATTTCGTCTGAACTAGAACTGATCTAGAACTGAACTGAACTAGAACTGAACTAGAACTGAACTAGAACTGAACTAGAACTGAACTAGAACTGAACTAGAACTGAACTAGAACTGAACTAGAACTGAACTAGAACTGAACTAGAACTGAACTAGAACTGAACTAGAACTGAACTAGAACTGAACTAGAACTGAACTAGAACTGAACTAGAACTGAACTAGAACTGAACTAGAACTGAACTAGAACTGAACTAGAACTGAACTAGAACTGAACTAGAACTGAACTAGAACTGAACTAGAACTGAACTAGAACTAGAACTAGAACTAGAACTGAACTAGAACTGAACTAGAACTGAACTAGAACTGAACTAGAACTGAACTAGAACTGAACTAGAACTGAACTAGAACTGAACTAGAACTGAACTAGAACTGAACTAGAACTGAACTAGAACTGAACTAGAACTGAACTAGAACTGAACTAGACTGAACTACTGAACTAGAACTGAACTAGAACTGAACTAGAACTGAACTAGAACTGAACTAGAACTGAACTAGAACTGAACTAGAACTGAACTAGAACTGAACTAGAACTGAACTAGAACTGAACTAGAACTGAACTAGAACTGAACTAGAACTGAACTAGAACTGAACTAGAACTGAACTAGAACTGAACTAGAACTGAACTAGAACTGAACTAGAACTGAACTAGAACTGAACTAGAACTGAACTAGAACTGAACTAGAACTGAACTAGAACTGAACTAGAACTGAACTAGAACTAATTTTCATATTTTATTTAAACTAGAACTGAACTAGTCTATGATATCGTATATAGATGCGGCTAAAATCTAGTGTTGCGTTCCACACATAAAATCGTCTTTGGTCTCTTTTATGATCTCTTATATTCAGTATTCTATATTCTTATCAAAAACCTCATATGTTATCGAATCAAAATAATAATATGTTCGATCACGTTAAAAATCAAACAACAAATCAAAACAATCAATCAAACTGACTCATTCCTTATCTTCACAAAAAACTGATTAAATTAAATCTACCAAAGATTTGTCCAAACATATTGAAAATCCAATCTAATTACAATTGTTCGTTATCGGTATTTAATTGACCCATTTAGTAACAAAAGAAATCCAATCACTTTCTTTTTAACTATTTGTTTTCTTTAAACAAAAAATTAAATACTCATAAAAATTGCTTAAAAACTACTTGTGTTTTCTTAAGTTTTCAAAGATTCTAGTCTAGAATTTTAAATACCTCGGTTTACAGCCCATGTTCAATTAAACATTATATCCAACCACCTGTCTTTCTTTACTCTAATGACCCAATTTTTATGTCTTTTTCTTGATTATTGGATTTTTACATTTTGACAAACCTTCTTAAAATACCAAATTAGTTGAAAATTTTTTGGAAACCGGCAAAAACTCAGGCAAGCTAAAAATATTTCATTGAATGAAAAAAAAAACAGATTTACAAAAATTATTCTTGTTCCACGCCCCAAAACAACCATTAAAACAGCAACAATTTATTTTTAGTTTTAACAGCAAACAAAAATTATTCATATTTGCGGAAACCCATGATTCAAAAAAATTAATTGTAATGAAAATAACAAAAGGTATAAAAATAAAAATAAACAGTTGTTAGCAGAAGTGCACAAGCTCAGAGAACCAAAGAAAAAAAGGTGAATACACTTTAGAAATATTTTACTTACATTAAGAGTACTATTCGTAAATTTGTCTCCCAATTAATAATTCTCAACAGGTTCTGAAATTTTTCTATATCGTTCGCGTGTATTCGCAATTATTTTTGCTGTTTGTTTGCACCCTTCAACATCATCATCGCCATTATCATTATCGTGTCCAAATCGATTTGTCGTCGAAATTGTATTAAGCCATAAACAAAATCCGTTCAATAAACAAACAACCAAACATATGGCCAACAATCTGCAAGTGTTGAGTTGTCATGTTTTTATGTCTCTGCGCCCAGTCAGTAGTCTGTCGTTCATAAATTTTGTCCAAATAATTTAAAATAGTTTTGAACATACACAATTTATTTATAAATATAACTAACCATTTCATTATTAATGTAGCAATTGTATCTCATAGTTTTCGAATTACATTTACATAAATAATTTTTTAGAAATTTTTTATTTTGGCTAATTGATTTACATTTTACATACAATACCCAAATACTCGGTGGAAGTACCTTTTGGTATGTGGTTTGAACACAATTATATTTTGTAGATAAGTATTAATGGGAATTTGTAGTTTCAAATCTATAAATATTTATAAATTTATGAATGAACCATCCGGAGCTGCTATTGAAAAGGAAATTTTGTTTTTTAATAAAAAATTCGTTAGACTGAAATTTTTTTAGCCATTCAGCAGACTTAATGGCGTGTATGTGATAAATTATTTAAAATTACAAATTTTATAACTTTTACCAAAGTTCCATAAATATATACAAAATTTGAAATATAAATAATTAAAAATTGTGGTTCAGTATGTTAGTGGAATTTATGAATTTATAAGGATTTAAATTTATTATTTTTTTAACGAAAACTTTCATTGCTTGAGTAATGTGTATTTTATCTATACTTTCGCCTATAGTCTCATGTGTAGTCTGGAATCTAGTATAATCTATAGTTCAGTTCTAGTTCAGTTCAGTTCTAGTTCAGTTCAGTTCTAGTTCAGTTCTAGTTCAGTTCTAGTTCAGTTCTAGTTCAGTTCTAGTTCAGTTCTAGTTCAGTTCTAGTTCAGTTCTAGTTCAGTTCTAGTTCAGTTCTAGTTCAGATCTAGTTCAGTTCTAGTTCAGTTCTAGTTCAGTTCTAGTTCAATTCTAGTTCAGTTCTAGTTCAGTTCTAGTTCAGTTCTAGTTCAGTTCTAGTTCAGTTCTAGTTCAGTTCTAGTTCAGTTCTAGTTCAGTTCTAGTTCAGTTCTAGTTCAGTTCTAGTTCAGTTCTAGTTCAGTTCTATTTCAGTTCTAGTTCAGTTCTAGTTCAGTTCTAGTTTCAGTTCTAGTTCAGTTCTAGTTCAGTTCTAGTTCAGTTCTAGTTCAGTTCTAGTTCCAGATTCTAGTTCAGTTCTAGTTCAGTTCTAGTTCATTTCTAGTTCAGTTCTAGTTCAGTTCTAGTTCAGTTCTAGTTCAGTTCTAGTTCAGTTCTAGTTCAGTTCTAGTTCAGTTCTAGTTCAGTTCTAGTTCAGTTCTAGTTCAGTTCTAGTTCAGTTCTAGTTCAGTTCTAGTTCAGTTCTAGTTCAGTTCTAGTTCAGTTCTAGTTCAGTTCTAGTTCAGTTCTAGTTCAGTTCTAGTCAGTTCTAGTTCAGTTCTAGTTCAGTTCTAGTTCAGTTCTAGTTCAGTTCTAGTTCAGTTCTCAGTTCAGTTCTAGTTCAGTTCTAGTTCAGTTCTAGTTCAGTTCTAGTTCAGTTCTAGTTCTAGTTCAGTTCTAGTTCAGTTCTAGTTCAGTTCTAGTTCAGTTCTAGTTCAGTTCTAGTTCAGTTCTAGTTCAGTTCTAGTTCAGTTCTAGTTCAGTTCTAGTTCAGTTCTAGTTCAGTTCTAGTTCAGTTCTAGTTCAGTTCTAGTTCAGTTCTAGTTCAGTTCTAGTTCAGTTCTAGTTCAGTTCTAGTTCAGTTTTAGTTCAGTTCTAGTTCAGTTCTAGTTCAGTTCTAGTTCAGTTCTAGTTCAGTTCTAGTTCAGTTCTAGTTCAGTTCTAGTTCAGTTCTAGTTCAGTTTTAGTTCAGTTCTAGTTCAGTTCTAGTTCAGTTCTAGTTCAGTTCTAGTTCAGTTCTAGTTCAGTTCTAGTTCAGTTCTAGTTCAGTTCTAGTTCAGTTCTAGTTCATTTCTAGTTCAGTTCTAGTTCCACTTTAGGTCTGGCTCAGTTTTAGTTCAATCCAAGTTCAGTCTATAGTCTGATCTTAAGTTAAGTTTATAGGTTGATTTATAGTCTGATCTATAGTATCTTTAATTTGGTTTTGTTTATACTGAAGCCTTGTCTGGTTCTTGGTCTACTTTAGAGTAGTCTACAGTCTGGAAATTTGATAGATTATTGGCATACTTACAGTTTATTTTGCAGAACTTTTTACATCTTTGAAGGAAATGTATTTTAACATTTTCTTTTATTTTTTTTTTTCAATTTCTTTAAATAAATTATACAAATTAACAATAAATAAATAAATTACAATAAATACATGTAAAAATATGTCGATAAATAAATACTTAATAAAACTTATAACAATTTTAATAGCACTTTAATCAACTAAGGAGCTCATTTATTCAGTAAGAAACGACAAATTTGTATAAAAAAAAAAATTAACAGTTTCGTTTAGCAAAATGAAATCCTAAATTAATTAACTTCCTACAATTTAAAATAAATTTAATTGTTAATTAAAATAAATTAAATTACCATTAAAATTGATATGTTTATGAACATAAGTGAACAACTTGTAATTAACAATTTATTATTAGTTAAAAGTTGTTAACTTATATTGCAATAAATAAATTTATTAATTTTGTTTTTAATTTAGATTTTTTTGTAGTATTTTATTTTTTATAATAAATAAAACTTAAAATAATTTATTTCATTAATATAAAAAATTCTTATAATTAAAAAAAAAATAATTCAACTAAACTAAACAATATTGTGGCCTTTTTAACAGTTTCATAGTGTTTGAAACTAAATTATTTAGATTTTTTTTCTTTAATAATAAATTTTTTTACAAAACATTAAATTTAAATATTTTTCTTTTCGCTAAAACCAAAACAAAATTTTTAAAACAAAATTTAAGGTTCATTATCTTTTATATGTTTACAAACATTCACTAGATTAAAGAAAATTTCGAAATTTCAAATCGATTAGAAGTTTCACTTTCGTTGCCATTGATTTCGATATGCCAAATATTGGGGATCGTATTGTTGTTGTGATTGTTGCTGCAGTAGTTGTACCTGTTGTGGTCGGGGTTGATAACTATCGGTTACCGAATCGTAAGTGTTTTCCGTGGAATCTGTTTGCAAAGATCTCTTCCAATAGCCGCCACCACCACCACCGGCCGATTCACTCCAGTCATCGCCATGATCTTCATAATGATGCTGATGATGTGCATGTTCAACATAAACAACCTGTCGTTAGAAAGATTTATTCTTTGAAATAAAATAACCCAAGGAAATACCAAAGATACCAAGTGTATGATTACAAAAAGGAGAGAAAGACGGAGAGAGAAAGAGGATTATTTCGTTCTCTTCTTTTTCGGTTTTGTGAATGGGAAGAAGGGAAGATTTCTTGCCATTCCGAGTGTATAAGTAGTTATAGTTAGAGATGGTGTGTAAAAGGCGGTTTTGTTTCAAAACAGAGGGGTGTATAAAAGAAGGGGTTTAACAATCAGATTTTTATTTTTAACAAATATTAACAAATTCTTTTATTTACCACTAGAGTTAGTTATTAGATTATACTAACTGCTCGGAATTTAGTAACCAAAATTGTTATAGGTTGTTTACACGATCGTTTATGGTTCCATTAGTAGTTTTACAAGTTTATTTTACAGTTTTTGAAAAAAATCAAAATTTTGTTTTATCATCTTCTTTCCTAAAAAAGTTATTACAGTTATTAATAATTATTTGTAATGACCACGGTAAATAATACTTTCAAATTTCTTTATTCCTTCTATTAGCCTCTGAAAGCATTTTTATTACAGTTGAAATAATAACCCCAATAGTTTAAATTTAAATTTTTGCAGTCATAGTTTCACAACTTCATTAAAAACAACTCCCTTTTGTCTATCTAAGGGTCTTCAATTTAGGACTTTAGGTCTTTATTTAAGGCCATACCCCCTTTTTGAGTCCAGTTTTCACAGAAATACTGAAGCGATTTGCATGAAATTTTATACCTTTATAAATATTGAATTAGTTTTAGTTTCAGAGGATTATATACCATAAGGTAATACATCCACTCGGACCAAGTCACAGCTACATCTAACAGTTCCAATACCTAGCCATTTCACTACCAGACTTTGGCACTGGGTTCTCCTCGTTTTCAGAGAACCTGCAAAAAAGCTCCTATTGCGCATTGACCGATTATTACTAGGGTTATATAAATCGACTTTCGAATAATCGAACAATCGACTTTTTGTCGAAAAAAAAAAAGTCGACTATTTTGTTCCAAAAAAGTCGATAACTCTACTATGGTCTATGAAAAAAGTCGAAAAGTCGACTTTGTTAATAAAATTCGAAAAGTCTGAAAGTCGAAAAAAATCGAAAAAAGTAGAAAAAAGTCGAAGAAAGTCGAAAAGTCGTAAAAAGTCGAAAAAGGTCGAAAAGTGGGAAAAAGTCGAAAAGTTGGAAAAAGTCGAAAACTCAAAAATTGTAGAAACAAGTCAAAAATATTCAAAAATCTTAAAAATGTGGAAAAAAAGTGAAAAACCCTAATATAGTCGGAAAACTCGAAAAAAGTAAAAAAATAGTCGAAAAAGTCGAAAATAGTCATAAAGTCGAAAAAATCGGAAAGTCGAAAAAAGTCGAAAAAGGTCGAAAAGTCGAAAAAAGTCAAAAAGTCGAAAAAATTCGAAAAGTCGAAATAAGTTGAAAAGTCGGAAAAAGTCGAAAAGTCGACTATTTATAAAATAGTAAAACTAAGACTCTAAGAGTACCATGATTACTTTTGCGTTAAACTTCGTACATAGTGCTTTAAAAACTGTACCAGGATCGATTGGTTAAGTCTTTGAAATTTTCGGAGATTTGACTATAGTAATAAGAGATAGAAGGTTTTACAGATCTATCTCTACTATTCGAACCCTATCTGGTCAATTCCCTGCAGATCGACAAAGAGTCAATGCATTCGAAAAAGACAGTGATTTCCACTAACGTCTAAGCACCTGGTTGGCTCTAGTTTGTCTTTCGTCACGCATGTACTCTTTGTAAACGAGGTTGAAGATAATCCTCACTTTAGTGTCCCCTTTGTAATCACTGGGATGACGATTGATTTCCTCTTAGGACAATTGCATGTTAAAATAGCTAGACACTTGGGCAGTCGGTGGCTAGGGGTAGGTTAAATAGGTAGTCCGGGACCGACCGAACTGCTGGGTTCATCTGCGATCTCGTTATCGTGTATATCAAAGTGTCCCGGTACCCAACACAACCTTACTTCTACAGTTAGCAACTAATCTAAAGAGGTCTAGGTATGACGTATCAATGCCCTAAAAGCTGTCTGAGTATCAACATAAATCATTGCATCCAACTCCCTAGTAATGGATGTTTTTATGGTTAACGTGGTGTGCCAAAACAGTCAAGTAGAGTTCGTTTTGAACCTGGTTGGTTGGTTAACCTGGTAAGTCGGATGTTTTTATATTATCCAAGGCTTTCTATATTGCTAATATCTCCGAAAGTCTATAAGATAATTTCATGTAGATATCAAGCAGATAAACTGAACACCTCTTAAACAGTACTTCGGTTCCATTCCACTTGTCCCTACTAGGATACACTATTGAAGGTGCCATTCCGAAATCCTAGATCATAACCAAATGATCAAAGACAACCTACGTGCTTCCCTTAATCACTGTTAAACCTACTCCGTACAGTATTCTAGAGTGATCTATCTGCTTTAGTCTTTTAGTTACTAACCGCCACTATTGCATGTGTAACTCCGAAGTCCAAGATCGTAACCAAATGATCTGAAATACCCTCCGTACTTCCTTCAGTCCCTGTTAGACCTAGCTCGTACAGTATTCTAATGTGATTTACTCGCTTTAGTCTTTTAGTTCCTAGCCTCCACATTCTCAGCATATTTCTCAATAAAAAGCATATTTAAAATAACATCCAATGCCGTTTTAGTTTTACTGACAACTTTTTATTAAACCTAACAGAAAACTAATTCTAATAATTAGCGCTCCAACTGGTTCTACTTGTTTCAAATACTTTAGTTCTAAATTATTCTAAAGTAATGGTTCCCAAATGAAGGTCAAGGGGCCCCATAAGATCTAAGAATGTATCCACTTTCTTTAAAACCTTTTTGATCGAGTACATCTTTCTGTTTGAAATCAAACAACCAAAACTTAGACGTACACATGCTCAAGTAGTTTTTCAGTGTAGCTCCTCCCGCTTAGAAGATGCGAAAAAGATGCAGTAAAGAATCTAAAGAAACTATTAAATGTGGCACGCAACATTTTCCGAAGACTTTCAGTCTTCACTCTTAGACTTATCTTTACATGTATCTACTGCATCAAATACGAAGAAATATACCTAGTTCACGATCGTTCCTTTGCAGGGAAATGTAGGTGGGAAAACCTTATATAATGATATATAAAGAACGTAGATATTTCTAATCAGCGATCGTGATTTCTATACACTTATGATTGTTTTATGAGAATTAATATAGGAGCTAAGTATATGGACCGATCATGATTAAATTAGGTACCTATGTATGTATGTATGTATATATGAAACATATACAACTATAACTTAACATCTACTACATCAAATACGAAGAAATATAACTAGTCCACGATCGTTCCTTTGCAGGGAAATGTTGGTGGGAAAACCTTATATGGTAATCTATAATGGACGTAGTTCCTAAGTAAGTTCCAATCAGCGATCGTGTGTGATATTATATCCAGAATAATATCGCTCCCAGGATCTTAGCTTGGACCTTTTATAGATCGATCACAAAAAAAGTTCTATACATGACTTCTGTACACTTATGATTGTTTTATTAGAATGAATGTGTTTTTTCCGGAATAGGTTTTATATGGAAGCTATATGGACCGATCGTGATGAAATTAGGTATATATGAAACTTATATGACTATAACGCTTAAACTTAACTTTATGTTTACTATGTATGTCAAATATCTAGTCCACGGTTTCTCCTTTACAGGGAAATGTTGTGAAAACCTTATATACTGATCTATAAAGGACTTAGTTCCTAAGATATTTCCAATCAGCAATCGTGGGGGATTTTATATCCGGAAATATATCGCTCCCAGAATCATAGCTTTGACCTATTATAGACCGATCCCAAAAAAAAGTCCTATATATGACTACTGTACACTTATATCCGGAATAATATCACTCCCATAGCTATGATCTATTATAGACCGATCACAAAAAAGTCCTATATACGATTTCTGTACATTTTTTCGAAATGGGATTTGTATGGGAGCTTTATGGACCGATCGTGATGAAATTTGGTATATATAAAACTTAAATCTGATGTTAATGCCATTTTTTGGAAGAACTTTATACAAGTTTATGTTGTATTCGGAGGTTGGCATTATATGGAAAGTTATTTATATTGGATTTTTCTCTTGTTTAAGCGATTTATTCGACTTGTGAAGTGAAAATCACGGAAGAATCTGATTATATGAGATCTTCATCTAAATATAGACCGATCCGCAAGAAATTTTAGGTTTATGTTAAGAAACTTCACTCATTCGTATCTTGCTGTGTATGAATGGCGAATAGATACTAAATCTTTTTCTAAGGATTGAGCCGCGTTGGATTTCTTTAACACATCATTTAAAAAATACGACATCGCGCAGTTATAACGTCTCGAATATGATTAAAATGGGGGTCTCTAACTAAGACATCTCTGTGATAAAATCTTAAAATGTCTTAAGATGCGATAAAGAAATTTTTGGTTACAGCTCAATACTTTTGAAGATTATACTCTGTCACTGGGGTAGCAATTTGTTAGTCCACTTCAACGATTCATGTAAAAATGATCATAAATTAACAATAGATTCCCATAATTTTGAAGAAAATTTTAGTTTAAAAGTTATTTTTAAATCGTTATCCAATACGAGATCTTACATCCTTAATCGACTGCTGTAATTTGATCACAATTTTTGTTTTTAAATTTTTACACAAAAACAAATATACAGACTGTAGAAAACTTAAATTAATTTAAACAATTCTTTTGTGAAACCCTTAATCCAAAAAAAAAAACTTTTGTATAATACAATTAACAACAAAAAAACAAGTGTAAAAAACAATTTTTTTCAAAAACTGTGAGTGCGAAAACCCATTGAATAAAACCCAGTTAAAAAAAAAACGAACAATTAACAATAAATAAAACAAACATGGAACTAAAACATTCATACCTTCTGTGGTGTACCACCACGTTTGACATCAATCCAGAAACGAGCAATATTGATCAGCAGACCAATCAAAGCAATGGCAAAGAACTTAATTTGTAAATGAGCACCCAACAGTTTCAGCAACAATTCTATTTTGGCCTTAAGGAAAGAGCCCAAAAGCATCAATTTCATTAAAGCCTTCTTCTTCTTCTTTTTCTTGCCGCGAGTCACTGTGAGGAGGGGAGAAAATCAAAATAATCATGTTTAATAAAATATTCTGGGGCGATAAAAGAGAAATGCTTAAAATTTAGAATAAATCAAAAAAAATGGGAGGTTTGTGGTGTTTGTTAGTAATGGGTGCGATTTTTAGTGCTTTTAGATAGATTAGAGAGAGAGAGAGAGGAATAAGCTTAAAAGCTATTTTTTACATAAAATAACTAACAAAAAAACTACTTTTTTAACAAATAAAATTTAACGATCAAATTTTGTTCTTTTAAGTGTGGACCCTGTTTGTGTGAATTGAAGATAATAATGTTCCTACAATGGTGCTTGTCTCTACTAACTCATGCTTAGTTTGTGCTTGAACCATTAACCTGATACCTTGGTGTAGAAACGGTAAATAAAGTTTTGTTTTCTAGAGTGTGTGTGTGGTTTCTAAATTACAATTCAAAGTTTGGCATATTGTAAGTGTAATCGTTGTTTTACCTACTTCCTATTTTGCTTTTTTGTACGTTGAGTAAGTTAATCGATAATGCAGTTTAGAGGGCGATCATACAAAGGTCGATAAGAGTGATTTTGTGGATTTAGATTCCATTTAACGCAGTGATGCCAAGTTTGACAATTTAACAACTTTTTTGAAAGATTTTGTATAAATGGAAATTTTTAAAGATTTTCTTTAAAAAGAGAATATTTGGAAAATTTTCCTTTAAAAGAAAGATTTTGGGAATTTTTCTTTAAAAAGTGAAATTTTGGAAAATTTTCTTTAAACTGAAACAAATGGAAATTTTTCTTTAAAAAAAGAACTATTTTGGAAGATTTTCTTAAAATAAATAAATTTTCCAAAGATTTTCTTTAAAATGAAATAATCTTTTCAATATTTTCTTTTTAAAACGAGGAATTTTCGAAAATTATCTTTAGAAAAAAAATTTTTTCGAAAATTTTTTTTAAAAAGAAAATTTTTTCGAAAATTATTTTTAAAAAGAAAGTTTAGAAGATTTTCTGTAGAAAGTGAAATGTTTACAGTTTTTCGTTAAAAAAGGGAAGTTTTCGAAGTTTTTCTTAAATGAGAAGTTTTCGATTGTTTTCTTAAAAAAAGAGAGAAGTTTTTCAATATTTTCTTACAAAAAAGAGAGAAGTTTTCGAATATTTTCTTAGAAATGAGAGAAGTTTTTCTTTTAAAAGTGAGAGAGAAGTTTTTGAAGTTTTTCTTTAAAAAAAGAGAAAATTTTTCGAAAATTTAAAATAAAAGAAGGAAATTTTTGAAAATTTTCTATAAAAAACTGAGAGAAATTTTTGAAAATTTTCTATAAAAAAACTGAGAGAAATTTTCGAAAATTTTGTATAAAAATAAAGAGAGAAATTTTCGAAAATTTAAAACAGAAAATTTTAAAAATTTAAAATAAGAGAGAAATTTTCCATAAAAAAACTGAGAGAAATTTTCGAAAATTTTGTATAAAAAAAGTTAGAAATTTTTGAAAATTTTCTTTAAAAATAAAGAGAGAAATTTTTGAAAATTTTCTATGAAAGTAAAGAGAGAAAATTTTCAATAAAAAAGGGAGAAATTTTCGAAAATTTTCTAAAAAGAAAGAGAGACAATTTCTAACATTTTCTATAAAAAAGGAGAGAAATTTTCGAAAATTTTCTCTAAAAAAAGAGAGGAATTTTCGAAAATTTTCTATGAAAAAAAAGAGAGAAATTTTCTAAAATTTTCTATGAAAAAAAATAGAGAAATTTTCGGTCTATAGACTCGACTATAGTCTAGCCTATAGTCTGGTCTATAGACTCAACTATAGTCTAGCCTATAGTCTGGTCTATAGACTCAACTATAGTCTAGCCTATAGTCTGGTCTATAGACTCAACTATAGTCTAGCCTATAGTCTGGTCTATAGACTCAACTATAGTCTAGCCTATAGTCTGGTCTATAGACTCGACTATAGTCTAGCCTATAGTCTGGTCTATAGACTCGACTATAGTCTAGCCTATAGTCTGGTCTATAGACTCGACTATAGTCTAGCCTATAGTCTGGTCTATAGACTCGACTATAGTCTAGCCTATAGTCTGGTCTATAGACTCGACTATAGTGTAGCCTATAGTCTGGTCTATAGACTCGACTATAGTCTAACCTATAGTCTGGTCTATAGACTCCACTATAGTCTAGCCTATAGTCTGGTCTATAGAATCCACTATAGTCTGGTCAATATATACATTTTTCGAAAATTTTCTATCGAAATATAAATTTTTCCAAAAAATATCTATAAAAATAAAAATTTTTCGAAAATTTTCTATAAACACAAAAATATTTCGAAATTTGTCTACAAATTAGTTTTTCAAAAAATCACTACCCCCTTATCTACAATTTCAATCAACCCACTCAACTTTTCATCCTAAAATCCTAAAAAAAAGAAAAAATCAAAAAAAAGTATAAAAAAGCAGGGTCATTAAGGAAGAAAAAAAAAGCTAAAAGCAAGTAAATAATAATGATCAAAAAAAATGATAATAATATGTGTATGGAAAAGGGTGCAAAAAAGTTATTCAAACACACACCTCCATTACTTCTACCATATTTCATTGAATGTTTTTTCTTGCGCTTTCCGCCCAATCCATCGCCATCATCCCATTCGGCCAATTCTTCGAGTAGACCCAAACCGAAATGATCGGTTGAAGGTTCTTGTTCAACAACATAAGTAGCAGTTGCACCGCCATGACCACCACCATGTTGACCCTTCTTCTTCTTGCGTTTCTTTTGTTTTAGAGGTTTGATTTTCTGAACAACTGGTTTAAGCAGCTGTGTAGCACCATGCGCATCAAAACTATCATCATGATGTTGATGTGATGCTAATTGATGTTCTAATGGTTGTATGACTAAGAGATTAGCAGCTTGAGTTGCAATATCATGTTGACTGCCCTTCTTCTTTTTCTTCTTACGACGTTTATTGCCACCTCCTGGTTTTTTGAGTTCTTCAACAGCATCTTCAGTTTCTTGTTCATTATCTTCGTTATTATCTGCTCCCTCTTCGATTTCAAAGAATTCAACATCACCATCCGCATCATGACTATGATTATTTGCATTCTCTGCCCCATTGTTGGTATTTTTTAAATCTCCTGACTGTTCATTAGCATTATTTTCTTGTCCATCCTCTTCTTCTTCGTCATCATCATCCTCAGTCTCTTCATACTCATCGGCATGTTCTTCATTTTCTTCGTCGTTTTGTGTTTGATAATTGTTTTTGGTATTTTGTAAATATTCATATTCACGTCCCAAAAATCTGTAATGGTATTGATTTAATTTAAAATAATTATGTAAATGTATTATCGATATTTTACCCATCCATAGTTTCAGCTAAATATTCTTTCATATAATTTGTGCCAATTTCAATTTTCTTTAAAATTGTCGAGGGTTTCTCTTTGCTTAAAGTTGTGGAATCACTGTAGCCACGTCTTTCTAGTGTAGAGTTCAATTGACGATCAGCTTCAGCTGGAATAGAAGATAATGACAAATTATAAATTAAACAGTTCAAACAGAAATGATGGAGTCTTAAGGCCCGACTGGTCTGGCCTAAAGTCTACATTATAATCCACTCGGTAACTATAGTCTGGTTTATGGCCTCAACTACAGACTCGACTATAGCCTAAACCATAATCTGGTCTGTAACTTCGACCAATATTCTGGTCTGTAGACTCGACTATAGTCTGGTCTATAGACTCTACTATAGTCTGGTCTATAGACTCGACTATAGTCTGGTCTATGGCTTCAACTACAGACTCGACTATAGACTCGACCATAGTCTGGTCTATAAATTCGACTATAATATGGTCTATAGACTGGACTATAGTCTGGTCTATAGACTGGACTATAGTCTGGTCTATAGACTGGACTATAGTCTGGTCTATAGACTCGACTATAGTCTGGTTTATAGACTCGACTATAGTTTGGTCTCGACTATAGTCTGGTCTATAGACTCCATTATAGTTTGGTCTATTGATTCGACGATAGCCTGGTCTATATACTCGACTATAGTCTGGACTATAGACTCGATTATAGTCTGGTCTATTGATTCGACTATAGTCTGGTCTATAGACTCGACTATAGTCTGGACTATAGACTCGATTATAGTCTGGTCTATTGATTCGACTATAATCTGGTCTATAGATTCGACTATAGTCTGGTCTATAGATTCGACTATAATCTGGTCTATAGACTCGACTATAGTCTAGCCAATATTCTGGTCTACAGACTCTTTAGTCGAGTCTATAGCCAATATTCTGATCTAAAGGCTCGACTATAGACTAGCCTATAGTCTGGTCTATAGACTCGACTATAGTCTAGCCTATAGTCTGGTCTATAGACTCGTCTATAATCTAGCCTATAGTCTGGTCTATAGACTCCACTATAGTCTAGCCTATAGTCTGGTCTATAGACTCGACTATAATCTAGCCTATAGTCTGGTCTATAGACTCCACTATAGTCTAGCCTATAGTCTGGTCTATAAACTCGACTCTAGTCTACGCTATAGTCTGGTCTATAAACTCGACACTAGTCTACGCTATAGTCTGGTCTATAGACTCGACTCTAGTCTAGCCTACAGTCTGGTCTATAGACTCGACTATAGTCTAGCCTATAGTCTGGTCCATGGACTCGACTCTAGTCTAGCCTATAGTCTGGTCTATAGACTCGACTATAGTCTAGACTATATTCTGGTCTTTAGACTCTACTTTAGTCTAGCCTATAGTCTGTTTAATAAACTCGACTATAGTCAAGCCTATAGTCCGATTTATAGACTCGACTATAGTCCGATTTATAGACTCAACTATAGTTTTGTCTACTGACTCGACTATAGTCTATGTAGTATCTATATAGTATCAACTACAGTCTGATCCGTAATATGGAATATTGTCTGGTGTACAGCATCGACAATAGTCCAGTCTATATTTTGGACTATAGTCTGATCTATAAACTCGACTATAGTCCAAACTATAATGTGGACTATAGCCTTGTCTTTAGTCTCGACTATAGTCTATTCTATAGTTTTTACTATAGTCTATTCTATAGTTTTTACTATAGTCTAGTCTATAGTCTCTAGTATAGTCTGGTCTATAGTCTCTAATATAGTCTCGACTATAGTCTGTTCTGTAGTCTCGATATTAGTCTGATCTATAGTATGTTCTATTGCCTGACCTATAGCTTGCACTATATTCTGAACTAGAGTCTAGACTATAGTCTGGTCTTTAGTCTTGACTGCAGTCTGTTGTCGATTGAAATCTGATATGCAGTCTCGACTATAGTTAGGCATAAAGTCTTAACTGAAGTCTGATAGTCTCTACTATGGTTTTATAATTTGGCCTATATTGTCAACTAAATAATTTAAGATTAACTTAACATAATCAACTCTTTAAACAAATATTGCGCATGCGTCATGATTACTATTTTATGAGCCTACAGCTTTTCGTAACATAACAAAACTACCGGCTTATTTTTATTGATTTATGAACTAAACTGTAATTATTTATTTTTATGACTATTTTTATTTTAACCACAAACTCAGCTACTTAGTACAAGAAAAAATCACAAACAAAAAAACTGGTAAAACATTAAAAAAAACCCATAAAATTGTAATATTTCTGCAAGTAGTAAAACTCTTTTAAAAATAGCTAAGATTAAGTGTTAACTACATTTAAAATAACTGGCAAAACTAAAAGTTTAAACTTATTAAATTATGCAATACGCATATTTAATGGCCACAAGCAAAAAAGAGAAAAACATTAATAATAGCATAATTAAATTTAATAAACTGTTGTTTATTTAAACATTTAAACATTTACCAACTTACCTTTCAACTTTTGCCACTGTACATGCAATTCACTATCCCAAATATCTAAGAGACGGGCCGATTGTTGGCGTGCACAAGACCAGGGCTGTTCTCGTATGGGACATAATACTAAATCTAAATATGGCGAAACGGCTGTAAAGATAAATCACAAAAAAGAGAAGTTTTAATAAAATCAATTATTTTGTTAGCAAATTTTTAAAGAATAAAAGAAATTTTCTTTTTTTTCCAAATAATGTTTACTTTTGAATAAATTTTTAAACCGTGAATTGTTTTGTTGCGCTTTGTTAACTTAATAGTTTTTAGTTGTTGAATTACATTAAATGGTAATGTTTAGTAAATAATTATAATAGAGGTATTCACTGTTATTATTAGATACCAAACTGTTATTATTAGATTACAAAAAATTTTAATACAGACAACAGTCGAGACAACACACTAGACTACTGACGAGATTACTATAGTGGAGACTATAGATCAGAATATTATATTCAAGACCATAGATTAAATCTATTCTATAGGCCAGACTATAGACCAAACTAAGTATAGACTACACTATGGACCAGACTACAGACCAGACTATGTCTCATACAATAGAGCAGACTATATAGTTTAGACCAGACTATAGACTACAGTGTACACTAGACTATAGACCAAACTTTAGCCGTCCCTATAGACCAGACTATAGACTAGATTTGGCTAGACTATACACTAAATTTTAGATAAGACTATAAACTTCTCTATAGACCCGAATAAAGTCTTCAATATATAGAGATTACAGCCCATAATATAAACTATTCTATAGACCAGACTATAGTCCAAACTAGCCAATGGACAAGACTGTAGACCATACTATATATTAGACTATTGACCCCATATTATAGACCAGATTATAGGCCAGACTATAGACAAGATTATAGACCACACTATAGACCGGACTTTGTACCAGACAACAATGTAGACTATAGACCAGGCTTATACCAGACTTTGGATCAGACTATAGACCAGACTATAAACCAGACTGTTCTATATTCGAAACTATAGAATTCTCTATAGTCAAGACTAAAGAATGATCTATAGCAAGAACTATCGACTAATCTATAGTCCAGACTATAGACTTATATATAATCAAGGCTATACACTGATCTATAGTCAAGACTGTAGACTGATCTATAGTCAAGACTATACACTTCTTTAGTCAAGACTATACACTGATCTATGGTCAAGAGTATAGGCTGATCTATTGTCAAGACTTCAGACTGATCTACAGTCAAGACTATAGATTGATCTATAGTCAGGACTATAAACTAATCTATAGTCAACACTATAGACTGTTCTATTGTCAAGACTATAGACTGTTCTATAGTCAAGACTATAAACTGTTCTATAGTCAAGACTATAGACTGTTCTACAGGCAAGACTATAGACTGTTCTATAGTCAAGACTATAGACTGTTCTATAGTCAAGACTATAGACTCTTCTATAGTCAAGACAAGACTATAGACTGTTCTATAGTCAAGACCATAGACTGTTCTATAGTCAAGACAAGACTATAGACTGTTCTATAGTCAATACCATAGACTGTTCTATACTTATACCAGACAATGGATCAGACTATAGAACTGACTATGTATTAGACAATAGTATAGACTATAGACTGATCTATAGTCAAGACTGTAGACTGATCTATAGTCAAGACTAAAGACTGACCTTTAGTCAAGACCATAGACTGATCTTTAGTCAAGACTATACACTGATCTATGGTCAAGACTTCAGACTGATCTACAGTCAAGACTATAGATTGATCTATAGTCAGGACTATAAACTAATCTATAGTCAACACTATAGACTGTTCTATAGTCAACACTATAGACTGTTCTATAGTCAACACTATAGACTTTTCTATAGTCAACACTATAGACTGTTCTATAGTCAACACTATAGACTGTTTTATAGTCAAGACTATAGACTGTTCTATAGTCAAGACTATAAACTGTTCTATAGTCAAGACTATAAACTGTTCTATAGTCAAGACTATAGACTGTTCTATAGTCAAGACTATAAACTGTTCTATAGTCAAGACTATAGACTGTTCTATAGTCAAGACTATATACTGTTCTATAGTGAAGACTATAGACTCTTCTATAGTCAAGACTATAGACTGTTCTATAGTCAAGACTATAGACTGTTCTATAGACAAGACTATAGACTGTTCTATAGTCAAGACTATAGACTGTTCTATACTTATACCAGAATATGGATCAGACTATAGACCAGACTATAGACCAAACTATAGACCAGACTATAGAACTGACTATGTATTAGAACATGGATCAGACTTTAGACCAGACTATAGACTAGACTATAGACCATAGACTAGACTATAGAATAGACTATAGAATATCCTATATGGACCAGAGTATTGACCAGATTGTATACTACACTATAGAGCAACCAATATACCAGACTATTTAGTCTCGTCTAAACCAAACTATAGACTAGACAGGACTGTAGAAGAAACGAGATTACCAGACTATGAATCGGACTATAGACTGTAGACCAGACTATATCCCAGACTATAGACAAAGCTATAGACGAGACATTAGATCGGAATAATGATTTCAATTAGTTTGGGAATCTCTGATTCAACATTTAACATACTTTTCATATATCATATTTATTTGTTTTGATTTTCATTCATCGATTTAATATATCAACATATCACAATTTTTACACTTTGACACACATGAGAAATTTGCATAAAATCTAGCTTATATGGTTAAAATAACAATATGTTGCCTGCAACAAATAGTATTAGTGGTAAAGATCTTGAAAAAAACCACAACAAATAAAGACAAATTTTTTCTTTTAAAACATATGTGTACTTAGATGAGAAAGTTTATTTTCCAGAAATTTTTGAATGAATAAGACGCATTCAGTAAACTATATTGGATCAAAATTGATTACTCAAAAGATCAATAGAATTGACAACAAATTTAAAACTTTAAGCTTTCACTAAAGAAACCTTAAAAAGTGATACATGAAAACGTAATAAATATTCAGACAAAAGAAATAAACAAATGTTGGGTATTCAAAAGATCTTGAAATTTTTATAAAACTCATGTAAATTCATTACAATGGCAATTAAGATGACCTTGTGCTAACCAAAAACAACAACAAAACCATAAAATTATTTAGTCACGTTATTAGGAAAAGTGTTAAGAAAAAACTAGAGAAAAACTTTTCCTTAAATAAATAAGTGAAAATAAGTATCAGTTTGTAGGACTGTTGCTACATTATGTTGTTGGTGGTGAACATGTTTGAAACATTAAAAAAGACAAACTATTGTTACAAGATCCTCATTAATTTTCCACCCAATTGCAGTAAGTGCAACTAGTAGCAGCAGCAGTTTAAACAAGAAATATTTTCAAATGACTACTAAAGCTAAAGATTTTAGACTTTTCTGATAAATAATTGTGTTTATATATGTGTGTGGGTTTAAAAGTCAAACCCACTACCACCAACTTAAAGTGACATCTAACTTTGGCCAACTACTTGGTGGCTTCTTTTGTTTCTATGGGTTACTAGGAATGTTTTCTTTGTTTTCCTAAGTTTATGCATCTTTTATTTAACATCTTGGTTTCCCATGAAATGTCATCATCATTTATCGTTGTTTGTAGATTTGTGTAATGTTTTTCTTTAGCAGTTTGGAGGCCAAAAGGCACCAAAAAAACTTCCTTTAGAGAGAAATTCAAGTTCATGTTTTGTCAGATTTGTTGACAATATTTTTTGTTGGTAATATATTTTAATTTCACTTTCTCTATAAAACTTTATGAGTTTGATCGGTATGGAGCTATTGTTTATATTTCTTAGGAAAAATACGAAATATGAACATTTTGAGAAAATAAATTTAAAAAATTGTTAAGAAACGATTATAGACTGATCTATAGTCAAAACTAAAGAACGATCTTTAGATCGGTCTATTTTCAAGACTATAGACTCATCTAAAGTCCATACTATAGACTGATCTATATACATGACTATAGACTAATCCATAGTAAGGATTAATATGTAAAAAGACTGCAGACTGATCTACATATCGATCTATATTAAGACTCCAGGCTGATCTATATTCAAGACTATAGTGAAGACTATAGACTGATCTATATTCGCTACCTCAGAATGATCTATAGTCAAGATTTTAGACTGATCTATAGTCAAGAGTATAGACCGATCTATAGTCAAGACTATAGACTGATCTATAGTTAAAACTATAGGCTGATCTAAAGTATAGACTAAAGACATATCTAAAGTCAAGACTATAGACTGATCTATAAGCAATACTATAGACTGATCTATAGTCAAGACTATAGACTGATATATAGTCAAGACTATAGGCTTATCTAAAGTAAATACTATAGACTGATCAATACCTACTGTAGACTGATGTATAGTATAGACTATAGACTGATCTGTAGTCAAAACTATAGACTGATCTGCAGTCAAAACTATAGACTGATCTATATCAAAGATTTTAAGTTGATCTATATTTAAGACTGCTCTATAGACAAGACTATAAGCTGATCTATAGACAAGACTATAGGCTGATCTAGACTATAGACTGATCTTTAGTCAAGACTGTAGTCTGGTCTATAGTCAAGCCTATAGACTGATCTACAGTAAAGACTATAGACTGATCTATAGTCAAGCCTTTATACTGATCTATAGTCAAAACTATAGACTCATCTATAGTCAAAACTATAGACTCATCTATAGTCAAGACTATAGACAGATCTATAGTCAATACTATATAGACTGATTTATAGTCAAGACTATAGAATGATCTTTAGCTAAGACTATAGACTGATCTATAGTAAAGACTATGGACTGATCTATAGTCTAGACTATAAACTGATCTAGACCGGTCTGTAGTCAAGCCTATAGACTGATCTACAGTAAAGACTATAGACTGATCTATAGTCAAGACTTTATACTGATCTATAGTCAAAACTATAGACCCATCTATAGTCAAGACTATAGACTGATCTATGGTCAAGACTATATAGACTGATTTATAGTCAAGACCATAGAATGATCTTTAGCTAAGACTACAGTAAAGACTATGGGCTGATCTA